TGGGGACTGCCTCCCATGGCACCAGGAAGGGTGGAAGCAGGTTAGAAAAATTGTCTCCTTTCTCCCACAGCCATCAGAGCAATGCTGTGCTCACAGGTGCCTTTAGAAGCCCCATTTCACGTACTCCCCCATTTTACAGGTGGGAAAACAAAGGCCCGGAGGGATGGGAAGGAGGGCAGTCTCCCCAGGTGGGCAACACATCAGCTCCTCCTCCTGCTCCTGGAGCCCCTCCTGCTCAAGAAGCCTCTCCTCCTGTTCTCTCAGCCTCACCTCCTGCTCCCAGAGCCTCATTTTCACCTCCTGCAGTCTCTGCTGTTCCTGCAGCTGGTCTCTCAGGTACTTGATTTCAGTTTTCAGGTTTTTCTCCAAGTCAGAGTGCCCCGCTGGGGGCTTCGGGATTGGGGATTCAGCTGAGAAAGGAAGCAGACAATGAGGGCCTCTGGATTATCAGAACAAAAAACAAAAAATCTCTTCTGGGTGCACAGCTCGTCTCAGGCTCCCCAAGCCTGGCCTCACTGCTGATGATTCCTCGCACCCAAATGGTAGCCAGTCTTCCAAGCCACTTTCACATAGAGAGCACTGTGGGTGGTTGACAACAGGCACCCCTCCCTCTTTCTGATGGGGACACTGAGGCTCATGGAGATTACGAGACTTGCCGTCTCCTAGCACAGACCTCTTTCCCTCTGCCTCAAAGCCCTTCCAGCCACCCACCTCCCTGGGGCACTCTAAGCCACCCCCACAGCCATCTGATGCCAGTCCTGCTCCCTGGTCACGCCAGCCCCATCTTACCCAGATGGTTTTGTAGGTAGGCAAGGCTCCCCTTCAGCTCCTCGATTTTAATTGCGTCCTGTCTTTTCTCCATTTTGAATATTTCAATCTGCCCAAAGCACAGGGGAAAGGGCCCTGGAGAGAGGGGCTGGTGGCTGAACAGGCTACCATCTCCCTCTCCGCCCCCAGCTCCACAAAGCCCAGTCCCGTGACCACCCCTGGCTGGACTGTTCTTTTTACAGATGCCCAGGAAGTTCCAGTGAGCCATCTAAGGTGGGGGCTGAAGGGTCAGCTCTCACTTCTCCTGCCATTTTCAGCAATTGCTGCTGCCACCGCGCCCTCTCTGTTTTGAGTTGTTGAGCATATGCATCTCTTTCTAGCTGAGCTTTCTTAAGACACCCCGTCACCTGCAAGAATGGATCCTGAAGTTAGGAAGGGCTGTCACTGGTCTTCACCTGCTCCTGGCCACCTGGGATCATCTTCCTTCCACATCCCTCCCTCTGCAAAGTCTCACCTCTGCCACCTGTGCTTTTAGCAGTTCCTGCTCCTGTAGAAACTGCTGTAACTGCTGCCCAAGGACTGCTCCACAGCGGCTCGAGGGCTGGAGAGTGGAGAGGGAGAAGCTTCAATCTGGAGAGCCTGGGCCCTTCCACACAGTGCCCCTTAGAAGGGCTAGGGCTGGGCTTCATACACAACTTGGTCAGTAAAGATCAAGGCCCATGGTCTGGATTTTAAAAGAACTTAGTAAAGTTGGAAGGGACAGGCAAAGAGATGAAATTTACAGCTGGCTAACAGAGGCCCAGAGAGATCAGATCATATTCTATTGTTATTCCTGTTGTTACTACGCTGTTGGAACCTTTATTGAGTGCGTCACCAGGTAGTGTGGTAACAATCCCATTTAACCTCACAGCCACCATGTGAAGCAGTTGCTACCATTACCTCTATTGGGTAGATGGAAAACATGGAGTATTAGAGGTTAAGTGGTTGCCTAAGGTCACATAGAC